TAAAGTGCATCACAGACTATAATACCAAAGATGCACAATGGCCGAATGACCCGTCTCTGCCAGATACACTCAAAAAGTTCTACGCCCGCTTTGAGGACCCTGACCCCCCCCCCTCACTCTATCAGTCTCACTCCATTGCCTGGTGATACACCCCTGAGTGTGTCTACAGGTGACGTAATTAAAAACCTCAAAGGAATTAACCCTCGCAAAGCTGCTGGCCCTGATAACATCCCTGGGCGAGTACGGAGGGAATGTCCACACCAGCTGTCTGGGGTGCTGGCAGACATTTTTAACACCTCACTGTCTTTGGCATCTGTCCCCACCTGCCTAAAGACTGCCACTATTGTTCCGGTCTCAAAGTGCTCCACAGTGAAATGCCTCAATGACTACAGATCCATAGCTCCTACCCCTGTAGTCATGAAGTGCTTTAAGAGGTTGGTTATGGCTCACATCAAAAACTCCATCGACGTCACTGTGGACCCTCACCAGTACGCTTACAAGAAAAACCGGTCCACTGATGATGCCATCTCATCAGTGGTCCACACAGCTCTCACTCACTCCGAGAGCAGGAACTCATACGTCCGTCTGCTTTTCTTGGATTTTTCCTCTGCCTTCAACACCATCATCCCACGGACTTTGGTACAGAAACTCTCCACTCTTGGACTGAGCCCCATAATGGGGAACTGGGTGCTGGACTTTTTGACTGACAGACCCCAGACTGTCAGGATCCACAACACCATCTCCTCTTCCATCACCCTCAGCACAGGCACACCCCAAGGCTGTGTGCTGAGCCCCCTCCTGTTCACTCTGCTGACATATGACTGCTCGGTGAGACATCCCAGCTGCAATATTGTGAAGTTTGCGGATGACACAACAGTAGTATGAGGCATTACTAACAACGATGAGTCAGAGTACAGAGAGGAGGTGGAACATCTGGTGCAGAGAAAATAATCTCTGCATCAATGTGAAGAAAACCAAGGAGATAGTTGTGGACTTCAGAAGTAACCGGTGGCCCCCCCCCCCCCCCCCCCCCCGTACATTGGCGGAGTAGCTGTGGAAGTAGTCTCCTGCTATAGGTACCACTGAGGACCTCACATGGAGCACCAACACTTCCTGGCTTATCAGGAAAGCTCACCAGCGTCTCTACTTCCTTAGGAAGCTGTGGCGAGCTGGACTTGGGAGCTTAGTCCTGAGGTGCTTTTACCATGGTGCAGTGGAGAGTGTCATGTGCACCTGCATCACTGAGTGGCACAGTAGCTGCACTGTCGCTGAGAGGAAAGCTCTGCAGAGAGTGCTTAGGGCTGCAGGCATCCCAGGGAGTGGCCTGGGGTAGCACATGCCACCCTTGGAATCTGATTGGCCACCCCAGGTGCCAACGCACTAATTTCTCTTTAAATAGACTTTTCATTGTCCACAAAAGGCTTGGGGGTTAAAAACAAAAAAACATAACCATTCGTGCCACCCATGCACAAAGATGTGCCTCACATGGGCTACCCCATTTTAAAAGATTTGGACACGCCACTGTAAGGCTGCCCAGAGGCTTATGGGGAGCGGCCTCCCCGAAATCACAGACATCTACACAACATGGTGTAGGGGTAGGGCCCTTAACATCATGAAGGACTCCACACACCCTGCACATGGACTCTTCCAACCCCTCCCCTCAGGCAGGAGGTTGAGGAGCATCCACAGCTGGACCACCAGGTTCAGAAACAGCTTCTTCCCTGAAGCTGTCAGACTGTTAAACTCTGGCCATGCTTGGTAGAGCTTAACACCCCCCCCCCCCCCCGAGTTCAAATTTCGTATCACAAGCATGAAAATGTGAACTGGTATGACAATAAAAGCTTCTTAATCTTAATTTCAATTTATCGCCCCAGATGCACCAAAATTACAGGCCTAACCCCAAAGTAAAGCTTGTGAGCTCACGAAGCATCGATAAGATCCTAGCTACAGGAAGATAAAAAGTAGAGGAGGAATCCAAACCTGTATGCAGTCCTGACAGATCACTTTATGAGCCTACACAAGAGAGAACTCCTAGCAGGATGTGATGACGTCCTCTGAGACTCTGAGAATACTGAGTGACTGCTCCACAAAGCAGGAGCAAATGGAAACAGCCAGCTGGGTGTCCTCCATTGGGACTATGGTGATACTCTGATGCTACTGGTAATTTACCTGACACAGGGCTGCTGACATTTCACACAAAACAAACAAACAAACAAAAAAAAAAACAGTTTTATTCACAGTAAGTAGAATTTAAAGGGAAATGGAGAAGTGGGGTCATAATGGTAAAAGTGGTGCCTAAAGGGGATCGGATAACACCTCATGGGAGTTTATGAACAAACATTTGTTTGACTTTAGAAATGAAAAACAGGATATTCAAGATATTCTGAACAGAATCTGATTTTGCAAACTTAAAAAAAAACTGAGACGTTCAAACGGTTTTCCAGTCTGATTATGATCGTTAACAAAAGAGAACATTTTTATAAAGCATTAATTTAACACCACTTACGTGATCCCTCTGAATGCTAATAAACTAAAGCTAATAGAAAAGCTAGAATAATTCATAGATTTGATGCATAATAAATAAGAATGTTTGAAATTTTAAAATCATTCTAATGAACGTAGAGATGTGAAGAACAGAGAAAGAAAGAAAAAAGGCCTGTTTCATCACCACATATTAGACACTTACCATCATTTCTTCACTTCCTGTTGTAAGGACGACTTCTTTTGGTTTAACTTGGTGAAAATAGACTTTTGAGTGTTGTACAACACACTAAGCCCTCCCCAGTATAAAGTAACTGGCGCTACAAATGTAGGGAGCATCATGACTTGATTACACAAAGATTTAAACATGCTGTGGCAGCATGGTTTGGTTTTCCAGGCATAAAAGCAGTCCTAAACAAGGCTACGCATTGTAAACATCCACTGAGTACACGTTTGTGTTTGACATGGACGTGCAAACCTCCCATGTTTCCACAGTGATGTGGATATAAACCAGGATTCTGATTACTTGCTTCACCAAGGCTGTTTCCATCCACACACAAAAGCTAAGTAGAAGCAACTGGAGGTGAGCTGAAATCTCCAAAGAGCTCCAGTCTGACACATCTCCACACACCGTCTCAACAAGCGAGCTTATCAGCATGCAGCAATCTAAACTGACTTTGCCGCAGCAACTCGTCACTGTTATTCAAATACACGGTAACTGATTGCACCCTGAAGGCACACCTGGAAGCAATATTCTAATTAAGTTAATCTGTGAAATCCTGACAATGTGGGTGTTCAGGTGGTTGGTAATCTGATATGAAAGGAGTCTCTCTGGATGAATACGAGAGAGCTGGCACCTGTTTTAGCAAAAGGTTGTGGAAAATTACCACTGTCGAACTATCCTCAGTGCACACAATTACAAATGACAGTGTTTGTCTTTCTCCTCATGAAACTCAATTTATTTCATGGTTGCGTTTTTTTCTGCTTTTGGTGATGGACTGTCAAATTATGTTTTGCTCATTCTCCCTTCGTCAGTAATTCATAGAATTTCACAGTTTTCGTCACCTTAATTACGGAAGTTTATGCTTCTGAAGGAACAAAAAGCCCATCATCCAGATGTTTTCTTTTGCCCCTGCAGCCGAGCTGTTGTTCATTTCCGTTTGACCACAAGTGCAGGGTTTGTGAAACAGTTTCAGGCAACATAACTAGAAAATTTGAAAGTGAGAATAGAAACTAAGAAATGAGAAAACAACTATTAAATATGTGAAAAAAATCAATTTAGGAGTGAAAATGGCCATTGCACCTTTAATAAAAGTTATCCCGTGTGCTAGAGTTTCACTTTCCTTTTACAGTTGCAGGATTAGTCAGCTGTGTATGGTTTGAGTTTCTTCCCAACGGTACACAAATTGTGTGACAGCAATATTAATTGAGTACTTGACCCACAGTTTGACAAACTCTTGAATAATGTCGCTACTTTTCTGCAGAGTGTGCAAACAAGGAGAATCCAGCAAAATCCAACAATCAGCTAAAATCCTAGCTGCAATCTAAAGGTGGATCAAACCCAGCGCTGCATCTGAGTCCACCTACATGTTCTAAAATAACTGGTGCAAAGCATTAAAAATGTAACATGTTTTTCTGAGCAGACAGTCTGACACTTCACCAGCAACCCTGAAACACTGCAAGGTTCCTGCCAGAACATCGCGTGTTTTTCCTCCTCTCTGTTATTTATGCATCGCACCATCAAACTTTTATGATACAAAACTTGTGACACGGAATAGATCAGATATAAGTAACTGTGTAGAAGAGAAAACAAAACCTTGTAATGGAAACACTCTCAGAGCTTCTCTCTTGTTTTACGTCCCCCCCACCCCCCCACCCCACACACACACACACACACACACTGATGCCAAGGAGCTGTATGAAAAGTGACAGGCCTGCTACGTTTCGTCGTCGTGTCAACTAGCGGGCGCCTTCCGCTCCTTCTCGCTTCAATGAAGAGATAAAAGCCTATTGACTTGCCAGGCTACAGTTAATGCAAATTGTGCCTGCTATCAATGTATTATTTATAGGAAGAGTTGCAGACATTTCCACTGAACTGGAAGCTATGCTTACAGAAGATTAGGCATGCTATCTTATTCATTTACCAGAGGGTAATTGCTAAACTGTGGTGGAATTAGAAAATGTGAGCTTCCCCAAAGGTGTTTAATCTTGTAAACAGGTGGCTGCCAAATGCAGACGACTATCTTTAAGACCACATATGCAGCGGCGAAAATGAAAGATCACATCTGAGGAATTACCCAATGGTCCAAATAATCATACTTCTACTTTTTTCCACATAAAAATACACATTTTAGAATTTCTCTGTAAGCTGAGAACAGCGAGAGCTCCACGTTGTCCTTTTATAGCGAACGGCACCTCGCGATCATCTCCTCTCTTTAGCTGGGATCTAAAACTTTGTTATTCACAACTCCCAGTCACTTCATGTGGCGTGTGAATAAACACAGGAATAGCAGTCCTACCTTGTTGTCAATGTCACTTTCGCTGTCACACTGTAACAGAAAACAGACAAAAACAGGGAACGTAAGGAATTATTCATTTGGCTCCCCCACGTAGCATAATCAGTGCAGATGTTATTTTTGTGTGCAACCTCTCATTCACCGTCAGCTTTCAATGCAAACAGCCGAGGATGAAGGGGAGAAAGGAGAGAGTGGTCGTCTAAGAGAGTTTTTCAAGTTTCAAAAGGGGTGCAGCCGCGCCGAATGCTATGCTGGTGTTTTTGTCACAATTTCAATGCTGTAAATTCTCAAAAGGCAGAAAAACAAATAACGCTACACACAGGCTCCATTATAAAGAGCCTGTTCAGTGATTTTGCATTCAGCTGTGGCTTGTCATTTAGGCCTTTAAGTGTGCTTTAAAATTGGACGATAGCATCTCAAGGACACCGAGTGCTTGGGTTCTTTGAATTCTTCAACACCGTGCTTATTGAGTGTGGTACTTTAAATCTGCCTTGTGACAAGCCAGTCTTTAATTTCTATGTTAGATATCTACAAGGATAAAAGAACTGAATAGCAAGAAAAGTTGTTTTCTGGTCTATGCCGTGTCTGCCATGGCCAAAGGCCATAGTCTGAATAAAGAGAAGAGGTTTGTGGATTGGGTTCAAATGTCTTAAGAAGGCAGAAAGAAGGAAAGAAAGACAAAGAAAGGCCGTGCCAAAGGCAAATGGATTAAATAGTTCCATGGGGCACAGCCTTTCGTCCCTCGTGTATTCATCAGCAGAAATTATTTTTCATGCAAAACAAAAACACGATTAAATTAACACTAATCTATTAAACTGTGTAAATCTAAAAGTTAATGTGAAGTTACAGCAAAGTAAAGAAGAAAGCCCTTTCTCACGTACAACGTTCCTTAAATTCAGCCACAAGACCTTTCTTTTCCTACATTCATCTGTGGCAAAATGCTTGTGGTTGGTAACTCTGTAGCTGTGGAAACAGAAGCTGCAGAACACTCGGCAGGGTGCAGGAGGAGATGAGCAATTTAACTACAAGTCACAATAAAGAAAGGGAAAATCTGCCTTCAACCTGTCAATGAAGTCCCTGTGGTGACATATTAAAGTGGACCCTTTTGTTTGGATTTGACTCCCTGTCAAAGTGGGGGACAATGAGGAGGGAGCTAGGTCAACGGAGCCACAGCTCTTTATTGTGAACGAGGTGGGCCCAGAAGTATAATTAAGTAAGGAGAGTAATCACATCAATGGGAGAAAGTGTATGACGAGGGTCTCGTGATTCATTTTGCTATTCTGAGTCAAGAGTTACAGCAGAAGTGCTTACTGCTAGGTTATAGAGACATTATGAGGATCATGCCACTGGGAGGCTCTGAGAGTACATACTGCAAAATCTTAAAGTACATCTAATAATGTTAGAAGTTGTGGGTGTGTATTCGCAGGACTCTAGAAATATGATGTGCATGCCACTACAGGGGAGATGGTATGATATATTGCAATGCAAAAAGCAAACAATATTTTCTATTTTTAAAACTAAACCTAATTGGAAAAACCAGGTCTGACGCTTCCAAGACTCATCCAGTTTAACGCGAGATCTCATTTCGCCAAAAGGAAGGTGGTAGAAGCTGCTGCCACCTAGCAGTCGGAGGTGGAATTGCACTATACAAGGAAATACAGCAAATCTTTGCTTGTAAATTAAAATTAGAAGCAAGACACTGGTTTTAAATTTAGATTTAAAGTGACAATGTTTTTACCATTAATCTCTGAAAATATCCAATGAAATGATGTAGTAAATGACTTACATGATGCCCAGATGTTGAAAAATATTGGCAGTTTCATAACATTTAACCATAAAAATCTGTTCTAAAATACAAGGAGCGGGTCTTAGTCTCTGGGCGACACCATGATATTGGATGCCATGTTTCCTTCTACGGAAGTCTGTGAGGACAAAATGCATTTAATGATTTGTAACAAATGGTTGTAAAAATTTCACCATTAACAAAAATTCTTGCTTTACACATTTACCTCTTCACTCATTACCAGCGATGAAAGGGAATCTCATGTTCTTGTTATTTTGCTGGAGGTGCACTCCCAGGGATTTTTGACCCTAATGGCTATCCGTTAGTAAGGTCTTATTTGAACACAAAAATAATGCTTGCTTGCTTGCAGTGATTAAGGTATGTACTGCCCCATCACCAAGAAAACTATATACTGTCACTTTAATATTGCAACACAAAAAATCACAATAATTCAGTGTATCACTATTTTCCTACATCCCCAATAAAAGTACTGTGCATGAATATTGCTTTTTTCATGTGCACATGTAAATTCCCTGCAAAGGGAAAAAAACAATTTAGGAAAGTTGATAGCTGATGCAATCATGTACGTCTGTTGATGGTGGGTTAAAATGATCCTTACTGCTGGGGCTTTTTCAGGTAAGCCTCCTCTACGGTCAGATTTGGTGTTGTTCTCATATTACCAACAGATCCTGTTGCTCTGAGGTACTCCCCAACGACCTGTACTAGGAAACTGTTCTTTTGTGTATCAATGATTTTTTGATGAATCCCATTTTAACAATAATTCCCCCCCAATTTATGATCCATGCCTAATTTAATGTGACATACATTTTTCTCTTAGTGTGAAATTATTTTATTTAAATAAACTAAGAGTTATTGTCTGTCTGAGTTCATAATAAGCCTCTATGAAATGCAAAAACTGTTACATGTTTGTACACTGAAGAATCACTATTACTACAACAGCTACAACTACTACTACTGTTAAAGCTACTACTACTACTAGTACTACTACAACAACTACTACTAGCACTACTATGTCTACAACTACTATTTCTACAACAAATGCTACTGCTACTAAAGCTACTACTACGACTACTACTACTGCTGCTACTACTACAGCAACAACAACTATTACTGCTAAAACTACTACAACAGCTACTACAATAATGACTAGTACTGCTACTAAAGCTACTACTACTACTAATGCAACAATTATTACTCCAAGAGCTACTACTTCTACTACTACTCCTACAACAGTTACAGTTAAAGCCACTACCACTACTAGTACTACTACAACAACAACTACTACTACATCTGTAACTACTATTACTACTACAACTACTACTGCTACTAAAGCCACCACCACTACTACTACTACTACTACTATGACTACTAATGCAACAAAAACTATTACTACTAAAATTACTACAACAACTACTACAATAACAATGACTACTACTGCTACTAAAGCTACTAATACTACCAATGCAACAATTATTACTACAACAACTACTACAATAACAACAAAAACCACAACTACTACTACAACTATTACTCCAACTACTACTAATGTAACAACAATTAATACTACTACTACTACTACTATTACTACTACTACTACTACTGCAACAACAACTATTACTACTAAAACTACTACAGCAGCTACAATAACAACAACTACTACAACTACTGAAGCTACTACTACTACTACTACTACTGCTACTACTACTAATGCAACAAAACTTTTACTACTAAAACTACAACAACAACAACTACTACTAATGCAACAACAACAACAACTACTACTACTACTACTACTACTACTACTACTAATGCAACAACAACTATTACAACTAAAACTACTACAACAGCTACACTAACAACAACTACTAGAACTGAGCTGCAGCTACTACTACTTCTACTACTACAACTACTGCTACTACTACTAATGCAACAACAACTATTACTACTAAAACTACAACAAAAACTACTACTACAAATACAACAAATACTAATGCAACAACATATACTAATGCAACAACAATTATTACTAAAACAACATCAACAACTACTACTACTACTACTTATGCAACAACTACTACTAATGCAACAGCAACAACAACAACTACTACTACTAATTCAACAATGACTATTACTACTATTACTTGTAATGCAACAATAACTATTGCTACAAAACTACAACAACAACAACTACTACTACTAATACAACAACAACAGCAACTACTACTACTACTTATACAACAACAACTATTACTAATAAAACTACAACAACAACAACAACTACTACTACTAATAATAATAATATAACAACAACTACTACTACTACTACTACTACTAATTCAACAGCAGCTATCACTACTAAAACTACAACAACAACCACTACTACTAATACAACAACAACAACAACTACTACTACTACTACTACTACTACAACAACTATTACTACTAAAACTACAACAACTCCTACTACTAAAACTACAACAACAACAACTACTACTACTAATACAACAACAACAACTAATAATAATAATAATAATAATGCAACAACAACTATTACTACTAAACAACAACAACTACTACTACTACTAATATAACAACAACAACTAATAATAATACTAATTCAACAACAACTATTACTACTAAAACTACAACAACTACTACTACTAAAACTACAACAACTACTACTACTACCACCACCACCACCACCACCACCACCACCACCACAACAACAACAACAACAACAACAACAACAACAACAACTACTACTACTACTACTACTACTACTACTACTACTACTACTACTACTACTACTACTACTACTACTACTACTACTACTACTAATGCAACAACAACTATTACTACCAAACAACAACAACTACTACTAATAATAAAAACAAATAATAAAAACCTCTTTTGTTTTCTCCACTTAAATCAGTGAGATGTTATTTAAAAAAGTAAAATTAATTATTCAATCTTGTTCTATGTAAATCTTACAGTAAAAAACACAACTGTGTATTTTTGAGCGCAGCTAAAAGAAAGACTGTTATCTCAGCACTTGTGGGCCCCTCTCTTTTACAAGAGATACGTTTAAACCCTAGGTGATGGAGATGAACAACCGGCTCGGTCTATTCCCTGGGCACTCGCTTTGCCTTGTTGTTGCGGCAGTAGCCATGACACTAGAGATGAGGCCTCATAAGGCTGGAGTTGGTGAGGAGGAAAAATAATATCAAAA